AATTGAGATGCATATTATTTTTTCACTGCTCTATTATGAATAAAAATTAATCGGTTATTATTGTATAAAACACTACATTTTTTCAGCCTGTTATTACAACTAGATTACAAATGTTATTTGTTCACTGTATGCTCTTATATATTTTATAAGGCTGTACAATAACAGACTACGCCCATATAAATAAGTTAGTCCATCTAGATGATTAATACAATGAAATGGTCGTTACATTAAATTATATTGTTGTAGGCAGTACATCACTGCGTCAAGGACTGGTAATATGGTAAAATGATTAAGGTTGAATTGTTAAGGCCTAGATGGGCTCGTCTGGTGGTGACTATACCCAGTTTAGGCCGTCTATGACGAACCCTGCTACAGTGACATGAGCAAAGTAATGGAACACTAGAGATCAACTTGAGAGATCAAAGGCTCCTGGACCTTTGGGGAATTGATCGCAGGACCGTCCCAAGACAGCGGCACTCTCTCATATTCAACATCACCAATTACAATATCATGCACGAATAATTCGAAACAGATGTCCCCTTCCCCTTTACAAGCGTTTACAACAGTTTTATGGTAAAGATGTTAGCTGACATATTAAAGCACCTAAAACATTTAATGGTTCTTGTGAAGTTGGTTGCAAAGGTAGCCTATACCTTCCAAACAGTTTCAGGACTCATGATCTTTCTGCAGAGAAGACGTTTCAGTTGTCATAACTATATCCTATACTCTCTCTCTCTTTCTCGTGTATGTAAGCTATATGTTGTAATAAAAAAATCATATAGCCTAGCAGCATCTGTATTATACGTAGCCTATACTTCAACTTCCAATTTACACAACACATTATCAACCTATTTAATTGAAAAGAGCACAAATGCCTTCATTCTTGGTTTGTGGTAAACGCTCTTGATCGTTTGTACCACGTCAATACCGCTTCAGAGCAACATCCTGATCTTGCTTAATTTTTGTTTGTTTCGCAGTTCAATTTATATTGATTGCTAACTCCAAGAGACATCCTTCTTTGCCTCCATCAGCGTTTACATTCAAGACATCTGTAATTCTTTAGGACGTTTTCCTTTCAGCAGTCTGATATTGTTGGTTTAAAAAGAATATGCATTGGCTAATAAAGCGTATTTTTGTTTCGTTATGACGTGGTCTTTTTTTCTAAAGTGTGTCTGATTAGTGTAGGGTCACATTATCTTGTAATTGTACCGAGATCTTCTACAGTTTTTACCCGTAAATTTGATTCACTCGATCCTTTGGCTTGTATCACTTATAGGTAAAGCTTATCGTGCGCTTTTATCGTCATATCATGGAGAGGTAAATATTTTGATTTATATTCTACATATAAAAAAGACATAACTCATACTGAATGACACAGTAGGACTTCGGAGTAGAGCTGAAAATATAATCAGTGGCTGTTATTAGCATTTTATTATTATTGTTTATTCATCATTATTTTTTTTAAACTGTTGATTAGTGAATTAGCCTGTGCACTTACATAAAATATATTTATTAAATGTCCCTCTGATTTGTGACTTGATTCCAGCTCTCCACGGAATCAAGCTGCTGAAGAATAAGCTTAGTTTGTGAATGGCGGAGGATCTGTCTGGGTGATTAATCGTCCTAGTACTTTGGCTAAGGTTCAAGACGAGTTCACTGGGCTTTGAGCGTTTTTCTGTAGCCTACCACTGCACACTCCCCTTCCCATTGTTTTTTTCCAACTAGTCTCTTTCTTATTTATTTATTTTTATTTTAGTTTTATCATCCCAGTTACGATTAAAAAATACAGTGAAATGCAGTTTGTAATTTCAAATACCCACCATTTTCTTATTTTAAATGCTTTAGCTTTTATTTTCCATAAAAATTGACGTAGCCTAAATATCAGTTTATATTGTTTAAATGGTTTTAAATGGGGATCTTGCTGTACATTCGGGGAAAAAATAATTAAAGAGCATTATTGTTTTGCCCTGATTCGTGATTAACTTTTTTTTCCAAACGTTGTTTTTTTTTTCTGGATGAATGAAGTCTTCCCTTTTTTAATAGAAAAAAAGAAACGTATACTGTCTAAATAAAACGAGGATAAGAAGTGCACATGGCTCTTTTAATTTTGATACATACAATAAATATGTATAATTATTTCGACACCCTGAATTCAATTTGTTTTACCTTGGTGTAACCGACCTAAAAGAAAAAATGATTAAAAGGAAAATATGTTTTCAATATTTAAATGACATCGTATAAGATTTCTCATGAATAGTGTGATATTTTTATGCCATTTGTTTGTCTATGTAGGCGATTTATATTTTGTCATATTTCTATGGCCGAATATCAGCTCAAATATTTTAAAATACATTTTTTTTATTGCATTTAGCTTCTTTTGAGTTTGTGATTTGCTCACACTGCATAACAATGGACAGCCTATTTTTAAATAATATTATGCAGCTTATATCATGAAGAAGAAAACCTTTTTTTGTCAGTAGCACAGTAAGATATTCTGCTTTCTGGCAGTGCGTACTCAAAAGAGCCACTATTCATATCTTTTTTCTTTTTAGTTGCGATGATGGATTCGTGTTCTCTGACTCACACCGTGTTGCTATGACCCTGCAGGTCATCTTCCAGCGGGCCTCCGGAACCATACTGTCACATGACACGAGAGGCCAGAGTTTCGCTAAACCCCCAGAAAGGACCGACATAACTGATGAAAGCCGGCCAGAAAATGCAGATAACGAACAACAACAAGAACATGTCTCACAACGTCGCGGAATTATTTGTAACAAAGTCGTTATGCATTTGAACGACAAAATTCGTCATCCCAAACATATTGGGTCAGCGACCGCAAAAGACCAACTTGTACAGTGAAATGGAATACTGAACGAGAAAAAAGGGGACGTTAAAACAAGGGGAAAATGTACACCGTCCTCAATCAAGACAGTACTAGCTCATCAGTGTTTCTTCCTGCAAACTACCGGAGATAACTGAAAGAATCAACAAGTTTACTGTTACTGTATTACCAACCCATATTTTCTTGGATGACAGAATTAAAGCAAACGCCACAAAGAGGAGCGCGGCTTCATGGTGAGTAACAGTTTAGAAATCCAAATTAAATTATTTACCAGCAACTTAAATAACGATGCAAAATGATCATTTTGGCATAAGAAATGTTAGCTAAAATCATATCAATGTGTAAAATATGTATTCGAATAATAAAATAGGCCTATTCATTCAAATGTTGTTGATGCAAATTTTATCCTAATGTAAACATTTCATATGCTCTTCAACAGCGCAGGAGCGACAAGAAACCCCCGCTGGGATTCATTGCCTCAAAAAGAGCACATAGGCTACTGCTTTATACAAGTGACCAGCTAGAGCTTGAGAAGTTCCACTTCAGCATGTTTGTGCAGGCGGAGACCTGTGGAAATGGCCAGTTTACTCAAACTTACTGAGAAGAAAAATAAAAATCTGGTTTCAGAACCGGGGTTGAGACAAAAAGACTGTAGGCTGAAAATAATGTCTCTCTTAGCTGGACCATCTCTGATCAACAACCCACCACCACCGTCTTAAGTGAAGCTTCAAGAGATTTATTTATGCATAGCATCTACAGTGCCTCAGGTGAAACGTCCTTCCGCAAATATGACAAGAGAAGTAGGCTATATCTGGGTATTATCCAGTATACATTAATGGCATTCTCTGTCTCTTCTGGACAATTTACATAAAACTATTCTGTCATGTTCCCTAGAGCGTAGCCAATAATAAAGTTCCCCTTTAAATGCCACTTTCATGTAATATTTCCAAAACGAATGTTTAATGGTAAATAAGCATTATAGTAATGTACTTGATTGATTTAATAACGTTACTCTTAATAAATCAGTCAAATTATTGTGTGAACATGAATAGTCCCATGAATTTGACATTTTGCGTGTTGTAGCGTATTTATTTAGCTATTGCTTCTCGCGATGTTAATTTGAAATGATCTAATCTGTTTATCTCTGACAACTTACAACTCTTATTAATAATTTTCTGTAGGCTATTCGAATGGAGTATGTCACCTGTATTCAAAAAATATGGTTTTAGGTTTATCTGAAAAGTCGAATTAGGCTATAGCCTCGTATCTTTAGGAATCCGTTTTCTAAAGTCCCTCTGTTTAGGAGCAAAATATTTTAGCGTCACACAAATTTAGCCTATTTTAATGGCAGATTATATCTAAGCACTATCTTAAAAAGCAGGGTGGCCCACTATATCTCGAGAGAGAGATGTAGGCTAACACCAATCTCAGTTGGCCATGGATGTATGGGGGGGTTCATTCATTCCAGTTAAATTACACAGCAAAATCCCCAGAGTTAAATCAACTCTGCTCAGAGTACATATTGTCCCAATCTGAGTGTTAAAGTAACACTGAAGCCGAGTTAAAGTTAATGGGATTATTAAGAAATTAATTAATTGATGATTGAGCATTATTAAAAAAAACCCGCTGTTAACAATGTTGAAGATGAACAACGACTGCTCAGGCTTTTAGACATGAAAACATATTACATAATCCTCAACAGTGGTAACTCTGCTTCAGTGTTACTTTAACACTCTGTAGGTTGGGACAATATGTACTTTGAGCAGAGTTAATTTAACTCTGGGGATTTTGCTGTGAGGAACTCAGATTTGAAAATAGCTCTATATATAAAAAAAAAACTTAAAGGCTGACCAGTCTATTTTAAGTCAATGGTGAAAGTTATTGTGTATGACGTATTTTTAGGGCCTGTTTATTTATAGCTTACAGCTCCAGTTGTCCTCTGCTATATAACTGCGGTGCTCGCTTTAATTCACATTAGACCTACATTGCGAGTTTATCAGATTGATGGGTGGATTCGATTGATGTGTTTGTCATGTAAATTCGAATCGTTTGATGGACACCTGCAACGCCCAGAGTGCTACCGCAGGTCGCACACTATTGGTGCAAAATTAGTCACATGATCTGTCACTAAACTGATATGAGCTCGGATAGAACTTTGTGTGGTTTGACATACTGCTTAGAGGTTGCAGGGGCAGTGGGACCACACATCAGCCTATATTGACCCTGCTTAATCAATTTTGCTTGGTCAGTCAACAATGAATTCCTACTTAGATTATACGATTTATAACCGTGGTGCTAACACTTATAGTTCAAAGGCTGGGTGTTTTCCTATGGAGCAGGAATACTTGCCAAGTGCTTGTGCAAGTACAAATAGTTACATTCCCGAGGGACGGCCAGTCGGAGGAAATATTTTTACGCCGGAAGCGCACGAAACCCATGGCACAACTTATGCACAACTTCATTCGCAGCAATACCACATAAATGTGGACATGGGGAAAACTGGACACCCCAATTTTTGCAAGCAAACCCGACCTCCTCACTCGGACTATGGACATCAACATGTACTCACGCAAGCAGATGACCACATGCGTCTTCAGTCCCCTGCTTTTTCTGTCATGAACATGGGAGCCAACATTGGAACATACAGGGAATCTAACTGCAGGCCTGGCTCGGTCTCTGCAAGCCATTATCAGTCCTATCCATATGGAGAACATGAACCACCACACAGCTATGGTTCGTTCAGCAAGTACCAGGTCTCTCCTGACAGTGATAGCGACTCCAAGACGAACATCAATCAAGCGCCAACGTTTGACTGGATGAAAGTCAAGAGAAACCCCCCAAAAACAGGTTAGTTGAGGCTAATTACAGTGGCTACTGTAAGCTTAATGTACGTAGTATAAAAACAATGTCAAATGTGGTTTCTAATTTGTCTTTTTTTGGTTTGTCTCTTTCAGTTAAAGTCGATGAATATGGGATCCACGGCCAGCAGAATATAATACAGTGCTACCGCAGGTCGCACACTATTGGTGCAAAATTAGTCACATGATCTGTCACTAAACTGATATGAGCTCGGATAGAACTTTGTGTGGTTTGACATACTGCTTAGAGGTTGCAGGGGCAGTGGGACCACACATCAGCCTATATTGACCCTGCTTAATCAATTTTGCTTGGTCAGTCAACAATGAATTCCTACTTAGATTATACGATTTATAACCGTGGTGCTAACACTTATAGTTCAAAGGCTGGGTGTTTTCCTATGGAGCAGGAATACTTGCCAAGTGCTTGTGCAAGTACAAATAGTTACATTCCCGAGGGACGGCCAGTCGGAGGAAATACTTTTACGCCGGAAGCGCACGAAACCCATGGCACAACTTATGCACAACTTCATTCGCAGCAATACCACATAAATGTGGACATGGGGAAAACTGGACACCCCAATTTTTGCAAGCAAACCCGACCTCCTCACTCGGACTATGGACATCAACATGTACTCACGCAAGCAGATGACCACATGCGTCTTCAGTCCCCTGCTTTTTCTGTCATGAACATGGGAGCCAACATTGGAACATACAGGGAATCTAACTGCAGGCCTGGCTCGGTCTCTGCAAGCCATTATCAGTCCTATCCATATGGAGAACATGAACCACCACACAGCTATGGTTCGTTCAGCAAGTACCAGGTCTCTCCTGACAGTGATAGCGACTCCAAGACGAACATCAATCAAGCGCCAACGTTTGACTGGATGAAAGTCAAGAGAAACCCCCCAAAAACAGGTTAGTTGAGGCTAATTACAGTGGCTACTGTAAGCTTAATGTACGTAGTATAAAAACAATGTCAAATGTGGTTTCTAATTTGTCTTTTTTTGGTTTGTCTCTTTCAGTTAAAGTCGATGAATATGGGATCCACGGCCAGCAGAATATAATACGCACCAATTTCACCACCAAGCAGCTCACCGAACTTGAGAAGGAGTTCCACTTCAACAAGTACCTGACCAAAGCACGCAGAGTAGAAGTGGCCGCCACCCTCGAACTGAACGAAACGCAAGTTAAAATTTGGTTTCAGAATCGCAGAATGAAACAGAAGAAGCGTGAGAAGGAAGGAACGGCCCCGGTAATTAAACGTGCGACTCTTTGCTCTTCTAATCAAAGCGCAGACAACTCAAACGGCTCATCCCCGGGTGCTTCGCCTACCTCAGACTCTTCCACTGCTATTTGATGATTACGTGCCTTTGTGGCAAACGAACTCATGTTTCATCATTGTGCTGTGGAGAGCTATTTAACTTATTCTGCTGTCTTAGACAAAGCATTAAATATCTGCTAGTGTGCATGCGTGTTTTATATATAACGCAAAATAAATAATTTTGCTGCATTAGAGCTACTGAATTCATGGTTCAAAATGCATTAACAGGGTATATGCTTAATATTCCAAAGCAAGAGGTTTAAATGTTATTTTTTCTGTCATCAGCTTGATATCCTTTTTTGCACTACTGATTAATTCCTCTGTTGAAAGAGTAAAAAAAATATATATAGTAAAGACTGATATGTTTATGTATTTAGAAAACAATCTGGCCTGTGATGTTCTGATAAATTAATACATTTTATTTTTCTGAAACATGTTTGTGGATTTAATCCGATTTAAATCGATTTATTGATTTTCTTTTAATTAAAAGGCTCTTCATGATGTTGGCATGATTGTGTCCTTTGTCAGAGGATGTTGCAATACAATGGAGCTAATTTAAATCAGTGTTGCTCTAGTCTGTATAGTTTGACAAGAGGAATGTTGCATTACACACCGGGTGGCTTCCTATAACCTTTTCACCTTTTTGTACCTACAGGCTCTCTAAACATGTAAACACTCCTTGGTGCTCAGTGTAACACTCACTGAGATTTGATGTTTCAATCCTACTTGGCACAGATACTGCAGGTTAAGAATGTATAGGACTTTTAGCGGAGTAAGACCCTTTCTAACTCCAAGTTACAAGACCCCTTTTGGCATCTCATTTGTATTTTCTTAGACAAGGCCATTAATGAGAGAATGATAAAGATTTTTTAGATTATATAAATGTACTTGGAAATAAAACAAATGACCTTTACGTACTGTAAATCTGTGTCTTTATTTCATTTGAATGTTTTTGGGGGAAATCAGAGAATGTAAGTGAAGAGGTGAGCAATTACAGAGAGAGAGAAAAAATGTTTAACCATAGATCTCGATTTGCCTCAATTCTTCTAGAAAGTTTGCAAGGACTTGACAACCCTGTTTCATTTCCCTGATCATCTGATGGACTGCTCCAATATTTACTCAGGGTGTAGGGTTTGCACAGTATTTGCCCCAGCAGCCACGCACTGTCAGCACCCTCTCCACTGACCAGGTTCACTCAGAGTTCAGGCCTAAATTAATTCACAAAAGCCATGGGCCTGTCCAGCAGGGGATGAGAAGGGTTTCTTCCCAAAGGTCAAGCAGAGTGTTATCTCTCTCCAAAATCAGTTATCTGCTATAAACTGAAAATCGAATTGAATCTCTAGCCTGATATAAATAGACAATAAAATTCATTTTAAGTAAATTAATAACATGCTGCAATAAGGTTACTGCTGTTGAGATTTAGATATTAGTTAAATTGAGAATTTTCACTAAGCAATTTCACATAAATAGAAAGGTGAAATCATGACAAAAAGTGGCATGAGTTAAATTTTTACTTTCACACTTAATGTAAGCTACATTGTGGTATGCCCAGTTTTAGTTAAATCCATCCCAAAACAGTCCAACAACTTAGCAGTAAAGACATGATGCTGATTAAAAACATATTTAGTTCCATTTATGAAAGTTAATAAATAACGGCACAAGCATCAATGTTGAAATGACCATGCAAATGAAAATTTGTTTGGAAAATCCATACAAATATATTAGTTGGTCAGCCAGCCCCAAGGGGAAAAGGCTACAAACATGTTTACTTTAATTTATTAAGTATGTTTGTTGCTTGCCCTTTTGGGTTGTGTAGCTCTGGGCTCCTACTGGGTCTCCCATCTGTGGGCATCAGTAGAAAAGCTACAGTGCTGCAGAGACAGATGTTCAGTCAGCCTGGAGGAGGAGGCTGTTTTTCACCAGGTTGTCAGTGTGCAGAAAAGGCTCACACTGCAGAATGTGGGGCAAGAGGAGCAGTCCACAGTCCACAGATACCGGAGAAGTAGGAAATGTTAAAAATAGCATCCTTAAACAATATGTATAGGAAAGAAATAGGCTATGTGTGGAAAGACAAGGAGAGAGAAAATAAATGTGTGTCTGTGAATGAGGCAGTCAGCAATAGTCATCAGAGAGTCGGTAATTTTGTGAAATAGTGGAGTGGCTGTTTTTAAGATTACATCAGGTAAGATTGGCAAATATTTCAAAAAAGATGCACTGTATACTGATAAATAATGCCGCAGTATTGCATATCACTTTGCTGGCAAAATTTACTTGATAGATTTGATCATTTTGTGGAAAAATATATAGATATTTAACTCTCCCCACAAGGACAATGTATTTTTATATATACTACCATTCAAAAGTTTGGGGACAGTAAGATTTATTTTTTTGAAAGACATTAATACTTTAATTCAGCAAGGATGCAATACATTGCTGAAGACGTTTATAATATTAGAAATTATGTCTATTTTAAATAAATGTTATTTTTCGAATTTTCCATTCATCAAAGAATCCTGAAAAAAATCCAGCACAACTGGTTTGAACACTGATAATAATAAAAATGTTTCTTGAGCACAAAATCAGCATATTAGAATGATTTCTGAACGATCGTATGACAGTGAAGACTGCAGTAATGGCTGCTGAAAATTTGCCATCACATGAATAAAATATATTTTACAATATATTAAAACAAAACCAACAAAAAAAGTTATCTCCTGTATTTAATAAAATGCAATGGGAAAAATAGAGAATTTTCATGTTAAAAATTCAGCGACAAAAATCATATTGACAGGTACACCGCCTTTGCTGTCAGGTCACTTTTAAGGTGACGTTTAGGGCAGATCTGAGGCTTGCAGTGTATACTCTCCCTGCTGGGTGTGCTTGTCAGAGGGTCTTTTACAAATCAAAAGCCTGGCTTGACTTCCTGAGTCTTGTTCAAGTCCCTCTGAAGCATGTCACTCCGCTGGGGTGTGTGACCTCAAAGAGATAAAAAGAATATTGTATACACTATTCATGGGCTTGAAACAGGGGTCAGGGGGTCATTTTATATGTCTTCTTGTCTTTCACAGACATGCAGTCAACAGCTAAGACAGTGGCCACATGCAGATAGCCTCCTCCTCTCAGTGAAAACAGGAAGAACAGGAAGCCTTCCTCTTGAGCTCTCCACACAGACCCATATGACCATCCCCCTCTCGCTCAAACGTATCCATGTCCTCGTGTGGCAATTTAATCACTCCACCGCCTTATTAGCTGAGTAACCGAGAGGGAAAGCTTCAAAGACCCTGCAGCACACGGGCTGGGATGTTGCCAGTAAGCAACCAGCAGATATTGACTTTGGCAGTGTAAAAACAAACATGTGCAAGATTTTTTATAGTATAACACTGATTAGATTATGAGAGAGAGAAGTGAAGTTATTGCACCTGCTCAGAAAAGGCGATTTGGAAAATTGCCAGTTGCTCTCAAAACCAACACTACAGTGTTTTTGTCATAATTGAATTGACAAATTTCCTGCATGTGGTTTTGTTTGTATAGGGATCTTAAAGCTTGGCAAAGTGTAACTGGTGCTCTGTCACTCATATGATTTAGAGAGGCGAGTAGTGCGCGCCAGAGGGAGACAAATGAAAGCTGACAGTTCATTTTATCAGAGACAGATCGTTGATCTCATGCACTGCCTCCCTGGTCTCTTTTAGAAGGTGGTGAAGGTTGAATATTAGTGGATACTGATACAACCAACCGCCCTCTTCTGAATCCCAAAGGCTTTATATTCCAGCCAGCAGAATGGGTTACAGCATGACACACTGAAGCTACAAAACCAAAGAAGTATCAGATTTCAGTAATAAAATTAGCATATTATTTTTTGATTCATAT